GCACTACGAAAACCAAGCCCTCCTTTATTTTTAGGCAAACAAACAGAATCCCAACCTATAGAGTGGATTTTCCACTAGTGGTTAGTAGATCCTCAAAGAAAATTATTGGAAATTCTATCAATTTCCTTATGAACAGAAAAAGGAAGCCACATTGTCTGCATATAGAAGTTAGGAATAGAGGCAAATACAGAAGAGATAAGAGTGGCTCTACTAGCCATAAAGAGGAAGTTGGTTTTCTAGCCAGTAAGCTTCGAACGGATTTTCTCCAAAATGAATTGACAATCAACCTTGGAATGTCTCTTAGCAAAAATAGGGATACCTAAATAGTTCCCAATTTCATTGGATTGTTGAAACCCCAAGGAATTACTAATAGTGTCTTTCATACCTTGATCAATGTTCCTTGAGAATAAAATTCTAGACTTTTCTTTATTGATTTTTTGACCTAAGCGTGAGCAAAAGAATTCTAAAATCTCACTCAAATACTGATAGTTGGTCAAAGTAGCTTTCCCACAAAACTGAGATCATCAGTAAAAAAATAAATGGGAAAAGATAAGACCACGCTTACCAGCCTTGGAGCCTTTCCATTTTCCAACGTCTGTATCCTTCACAAGCTTGATTGATAGATATTGCATACACAATATAAACAAAAAGGGGGAGATGGGATCACCTTATCGAAGGCCTCTAGATAGTAGAAAAGCCTTAGTCTTATCACCATTAACAAGAATTGAGATAGAGGAGGAAGAGATACAGCTCATCACAAGAGAGATAAACAGAGGAGGGATCTTGAAGAAAGTGAGGGTTTCTCTAATGAAACTCCATTCAATCCTATCATAAGCTTTTTCCAAATCAAGCTTGATAATCATGTCTCTCGTCTTACCTTTCCTTTTAGAAAAGGAGTAGACAAGTTCTTGCAGGATAAAAACATTATCTGTACCTTTTCTTCTAGGGATAAAACTTGCATAACAAGGAGAAATAATATCATCTAGCATAGGTTTCATCTTATTGACAAGAATCTTAGAGATAACCATGTAAGTAGTATTACAAAGGCTAATAGGATGAAATTGCTCTACAGTTTCAGTGCTCTTAGTTTTGGGAATAAGAGTGACAAGGCACTCATTCCACTCAAAAGGCACACAAGTAGAGGCAAAAACTTTGCGAATGTTCTAACAAAGATTATCCTTGACAGAGGTCCACAATTTTTGAAAGAAAATAGGGTGTAAGCCATTAGGACCTAGGGCTTTAAATGGCTTCAACCCAAATAGAGCATCATGAATTTCCTCATCCATTGATGACTTTAATGAGATCATCCTGATCCTGAAAGTGAACAAGAAAATAATCAAGACCAAGATCAATACAATCCCACTTACTTGTCAGATTCCACTAAGCTTTGATGCTAGCATAAAGGAAGGTATAGCCCACTGTCTTGTTGAAGGTTTTAATAAGAGCATTTTTCTAGGGGTCCCTTATCTGCTTCTTGTCTTCTTCTGAAAACAAGACAATTGGGGCTGGGTCATCCGGGTCCTCATTGACATAGGAGTCATCATCAAAATATTCTGAAACAGCATCAAAAGAAAGTTGACATTGGGGAAATCGATCAACCCGTCTAGGAGAAGCTTGTCCCTATATGATGGGCAGTAAAAACAGCCTCCGCCATGGTTTCTTCCTTGGAAGAAGATGGAATGTCTACAGGAGATCCCTTAACTCTTTTCACGCTTTGGGCTAGAAGGTTAGTTTCTTGAGGAGAAGAGAATTTTAGAGAGAAAATTAGCATTCGCCACTGTTAATTACACAATAAAATTATATATCTTGTGTACTAATTAATGGTGGTCCCATTTGGGAATGGCAGAAGGCCACAAAATGGCCCCTTTTTGGTTTTAACTACTTGCCCAGATTACCCAACTGTAACCGGCAAAACTTAGTCCAAGATTTCATTGAGGATGCATCTTACTTTGATGAAACACAAGAATTTAAAATTAAAATTTATGGGTTAAAAAATGTATTTAAAATACATATAATTTTAACATTAAAATATATAATATCAAATACACACATTTAGATCAAATTTAAATACATTACATTTGAATAAAAATAAATAATATATTTAAATTTAGAGTTTCAAATTCAAATGCATATGCATAGGCAAAAAGGCTATACA